TTATCTTTCTTGATATTGTTTTTAAGTACTTATAATGCACTATGTGGTTGCTTTGTTTCTTTTATATGTTCTTCCCCCATTTTGTAATCCCTGTTTTCACTGTATTTTATTGCAGTGTTCAGCAACTTGTGTATACATTTTTGTAATTTGGTGAGGGGAAGGGATATGGCAGAATGCTTAAATGGGGATTCAGGGTGACCCATTGTGACGATGAGATCTATAGGACACTACGTTGAAAATGAATTTTACAATGTCAGGGGAGGGGAGGGAGGAGTTGGCAGGTGGGGAGGGAAGGGATGGTAGGTGGAAAACAAAGGAGGAGCTAACAATATTTGATAGAAACTGTACTCATTACCCTACTCATGTAACTGTAAATCCTCTGTACAGTATTTTTGCAATAAATTATACATAATTTTTTCTGGCTTTGATCAGATATTTACTTCAATGTAAAACCTAACTTATATTGCTCAATTTCTTTTTTTTTTTTTGGTCAGTTATAGGACCTGAATCTGGGCCTAGGTGCTTTCCCCTCAGCTTATCAGCTAAAGGAAAGCACTTGAACTACAGCACCACTTCTGGTTTTCTGAGTGGTTTATTGGAGATTAGAGACTCAAGGTGTTTCTTACCCAGACTGGGTTTGAACCTCGATCCTCAGATCTCAGCCTCCTGAGTAGGTAGGATTAAAGGCATGAGCCACAGGCTCCTGGCTATTGCTCAATTCTTTACATGCTAAAAGGCCAAAATATGACTGTTTAACCTAAAACTTGTTTTCCTTCAAATATTATCTGATAAAACTTAGAAGAGTGATGTGTAAAGTGATGAAATTAGATGCATTTTGAAAGCAGCAAAAGAAATGATCTGAGCTACCTCGTTTGTTAAGTTTGGACTCTTAATGCAATGTCACTCTGCAGGTGATTCTCCTGTTTTCCTTACTTTTAAACCAAATGGGAAATATTAATTTACAACCAGTTTGTCTAAGGGTAATTACTTTACAGTTAAAAATGTCATTTTGAGATCAAATATTTCAGAGTCAATTGAAAATTTAATTTTTTATAACTCAGTAAGGAAGCCAGGCAATGTTGACTCTTGCCTGTAATCCTAGCTACTTAGGATGCTGAGATCTGAGGATCAGGGTTCAAAAGCAGCCCAGGCAGGAAAGTCCATGAGAATCTTCTCTCTAATAAACCACAAGAAAAGGGAAAGTGGCCCTGTGGCTGAAGTGGTAGAGCACTCTCCTTAAGCTGAAGAGCTGAGTGACAGCCCCGAGGCCTAGAGTTTTAAGCCCTGTTATGGGGTCTGCTGTAGGTGATTACACATTTATCCTGGTAGGGATGTTATATTCTACTAGGATTCACCATGCAGAGACAGCATCATGTAAAAAGATGAATTTATTGGGGAAGTGACTGGCCAGGGATGCATCACAGACCAGGGAGTTATGACTGGGACCCTGAGCAATTCTCAAGCTAGGGTTTTTAAGGGGTAGCTTACATAGAGTTACAAAGACCAGCTATGCTAGCATGTTTGGTACATTTTCATTGGTTATAGTTATATGACCTTTAAATTCATTTGTTCTTTATGGTAAATATCATATGTAATAACTTGCAATAGGCTGCCCATAGTGGCACCACTGGGTGGTGGTTTATAATTGGTGGTCTTAAGGTCCTGTTACAGAGGCATGCAAGCAAAGTTACAGAAGTAAAACATAGCAAAAACATAGCCTTGAGTCATAGGAGCATAGGCAAAGCATAATCTTGACTTAGCCACCATTACTATTACTATTAATGCAATTGACACTATTAAAAATTATTTTTTATTATAAACTCCTGACTAATACAGCATCCCAGGGCAGCTGATGATAAGCCTCAAGGTTGTAGGCAGACATCTTCAAAGTTGCCCTCTCTACTGAGGGAGAGATATTCTTTTGCTTTTTACAAGGATGGAGAAGCAAAGGCTGACCAGTAGTTAGTCTTTATCTGAGGTTTTTCTTTACCAAGAGGTTTTTGCCCTTTATTAATACCAACTGAGATATTACAGCCCCATGACTGACAAAAAAAATCTCACTAAGGAAATTTTAAAAAGTAAAGGAAGAGTGAAGTTATCAAATAAATACTTGAGAAAGGAAATTGAGGAAACAAATTGTTTTCATTTGGATAAAAAATGATTTGAGAAGCAAAAATTGCCTTCACTATTTCTAACCACAAAATGTTCAAGTAGCACAAGGTCAGAGTAGGTCTTGAGTTTCATAAAATAGAGCTTATTATAACATCATTGGTATTAAATTATTTGGTTGATGATCAAGAAAATTAATAATTACAGATGCTGTGAGGATGTAGCCAAAAGGAATGTTATAACACTATTGGTAACATGACAAAAGATATAATATTACATGCACATTACACACACATACTAGTATGGGTGTTTGTTATGTCTATGTTTACATATGATTACTGTTTATCATGACATTACTTAAAAGCTGAGATGCAGAACCAGAATCAGTTCCAATCAACACATGAATGGAAAAGTAAATGGAGTCATGCAGAAACAATGGCGTCTTGAGAATGCAAGTATATATTTGAGTCAGGAATACAGGAGGAAGTGGAAATCATCGTGTTCAGGAAATCACCCTGACAAATGCAGCAATGTTATATATTGGACATGTGTGAAAAATGAAGCATACAACCTGTGTGTGTGGAAGGGAGGGAAAAACTGGGTAAACTTGTAAAAACAGAAATGGACTCATTACTTGACTTACCTAATGGTAACTCATCTTTACAACACAGCCAACCAGAAAGATACATAAATGTATTATCACCCAACACAGATCCCCATTATTTCTCTCATTATTTTTTGTTGGTTGTGAGGCCTGAATTTTGGGCCTGGGCGCTGTCCCTGAGCTCTTCAGCTTAAGGTAGCACTCTACCACTTGAGCCACAGCACCACTTTCAGCTTTATTTCTGCTTATGTGGTGCTGAGGGATCAAACCCAGGGCCTCATGCATGCAAGGCCAGCACTCTACCATTGAGCCAATTTCCCAGTCCCTTCTCTCATTATTGAAATATAGGGAGAAAAAGGCTTAGAGTAATAGAGTAGATATCAACAACAATTGTAAGGTTCTCCAGAAAAGAAATGTAACCCAAGGTTCAGGAAATAAAAACCAAACTACCCACCCACAGGAAATGGAGGCATATTGAAAAGATAGAGGAAAAAGAAAAAGACAAAGAAAGAGAAGGGAACTTTCACTGAGGCAGAACCATAGTGGATGTAGAAGTGACCTCAGAGCCTGAGGAACCTCTCTCTGTACTAGGGATGTGTGACCAGGACAGTTCAGGAAGTGACCTCACTAGATGAGGAAGTGACCTCAGATGTGGGTTCCTTTGCTGACTCACAGTCAGGTGATTGACAGGTGACTACAGGTTTCAAGCAGGTGAAGAGGAAGTGGGGAGGGGCTTTTCTGGGCAGACTTAACAGAAATAGAGTAATAGAGTCAGGGAACAGGATGAAAGCCATGTCAAGCTTGGCCCCAGCACTGACCCTCTTTCAAGGTCTTGTTGACTACCAGCACCAAGTAGCATTTGCATCCTTACTTTTCCAACTTACTTTTTTTGTTTTGTTTTGTTTTTAATTAAAAAATTATTTCCTTTTTTGTTGTGAAAATACTGTACAGAAGGGTTACAATTACATGGGCAAGATAATGAGTACATTTCTTATCAAGCATTGTTACACCCTCTTTGTTTCCCCTCCCCAACCCTTCCCATCCCCCAAAGTTGTAAAGTTCGTTTTTTTGACATAATGAGTTGTACATTTCATTGTTACAATGGGTCCACCTGTATTCCTATTTAAACAAACGATTTGGTTTTTCCCTTCCCCTCCACAAATTATACCAACATCAAATACAGTGAAAGCAGGGATTATAGTGGGGGAGTGACATACAAAGCAACAAAGAAATTATAAATATGTTAGAAACAATCCCGTGAAAGCATAAATATTTGAATACTTATCTTGGGGTTCATTTCACCTAACATCAACTTATCTGACCTTTTCTGCTTGTCTCAGACATATACTAGTTATTGAAAATAAGGGAAACCCTGGGCCCTCTGTTCCTTTGGGCCTGGCTTACTTCACTTAATATAATTTTTCTAAGTCTTTCCATTTCCTAACAAATGCGGCAATGTCATTCTTTCTGATGGAGGCATAGAATTCCATTATGTATATATACCACATTTTCTTGATCCATTTCTCTACTGAGGGGCATCTGGTTAGGTTACATTTCTTAGCTTTTGTAAATAATGCTGCAATAAACATAGCATTAGCGTGGTCTTGTTTGTGATCATTTGGGTAAATGCCCAAAAGTGGGATTGATGGGTCATAGGGAAGCTCTATGTGGAGTCTTTTGAGGAATCTCCATACTGCTTTCCAAAGTGGTTCAACAAGTTTACACTCCCACCAACAATGCAGTAAGATTCCCTTCTGTCCACATCCCCTCCAGCATCTGTTGTTATTACAGATCTTGATTATAGCCATTCTAAGAAGGCTAAGACACATGAAGAAGACACATTCTAAGACACATGAAGAAATGTTCATCTTCCCTAGCCATAACAGAAATGCAAATCAAAACATCATTGAGACACCACCTCACTCCAACTTACTTTTGCCAATCCCATCCTGATAAATATATGGAGCCAGATCACAGAACCAGGCACCAAGGTGAGCTCTGTGGGGAGCAGGAACCTATGCTGTGACCTTGTTTCTCTTCTCTTCTGATCAAATAAAAGAGGAGACAGGTAGGGAGGCATGGACAGAGCAGGGACCACATGCCTGTCCAAGTGGGAACAATAATTCCCCCAGCACCTGGGACATGAAAGAGACACACAGCAGAACAAGACCCATCCATACACACACAGCTTCCAGGATGCTCGGTAGGCAGGCCTGCTATGTTCCCAGAAAGTCATATATCAAAGAACATCTCTGTCTAACAGTGGATGGCCCCAATGTATTGATAGATGCATTCTGCTGGTCAAAGACATGCTAGCACTGAAGAAGTTTCACATCCAATTGGATGTGTACCTTGACCTTAAAGTATTGATCTGTAATCGTTGAATTCAGGGACACTGTTGGTACCTTCAGCAACAGTAAATAAATGAATTGACCACTTGTGGATACTTCTGCATGTACAGTTGGTATGGAAACCTGAATGGGTCATTTCAGTAAACTTCTGTGACTCCCTTGGCCCTGGGTTGTGAGTCTGCCCATCTTATCCTTGATTGTGCTCCAATAACTCTGATTGGGCCTTTTCTGGCCATGGCATTCTATGACCTTTTGACCTTCACCTGGCAACCTCTGGTGTCATCCATTCCTATCATCCCTAGTGGCTTTCCTATGAGACTTTATTTTGTGTATTTTTTTTCTTTTCAACTCTTTGCTTTCACACAAGTTTGTGAAAAACTCAACTAGAAAGGAATCCATCCCTAGAGTTTCATTATCTACCATCTTGGATGAAATCACAGTCCTGAGGGTGTGGAGAATATGCTACACATGTTTTCCAACTTCTGTGTTGACCTTGAAGCTGGACCCCAGATGCAGTGCCGGAGGGCAGAATAGGCTCTGTTTTCCTATAGGACCGTGGAGGAGGCCGTTGGTGTGTCCCAGTGGCCATCCTGGGAACAAGGAGCCACGGAAACTGAAGATCCATTTAGACACCCCCCGACACAGCAGGCTCAGTTTGCTGCCAGAATCATATCTCCATGACAACGCAGCAGCAATGTTCCCTGTGGCTCTGACACTGCTTTTCCTCCAGCATCTACATGTGGTCAGTTCCTCTGAAGATGGCAGACTCATTTGCAGAGAGAAATCTGTGGCACACAGCAGGGGAGATGTGGTGATTGCTGGATTTTTCCCCCTTTATTCTTGGGAATTTGTTCGGAACATTAACGATCCTGGCGAGCAGCAACAGAGCCTACAGTAAGTAATTTCTTCAGTTTTCTTAAAATTTGCAATTTCTGTTTGATTATCAGTCAGGGTGGGTGAAGTTAGTTACATCCATTATTGTTCTCTGTATCTTCTACTCTGTCCTCACCATAACAACTCTCCTTTACTTCAGACTTTGCTGATAAATATTTTTCTTTCTTCCAAAGGGTAGAGAGATTTCTGTCAGTTCCATTCCACTGCCCTTTCCCAGGGCTCTCCCAAACTTCCCACAATCTCTGTGACTCCTCAAGCCTTACTTGACCTGGCTCATGGTCAATAGGGTGACAAAGAGTCCATATTAACACACTAAAATGCAATGTCCCCATCCATAGGGCATAGGCCAGGGAATCTTCAGTCAATTGTGTTGTTTATACTTTTAAAAACAGGACTAATGTTTGGACTTCCTTGAGGGCAACATTTCTTACGATAGACATGCATTTTCTTCTTCTGGTGTAATTTCATGTTAGCATAGCTCCTGGAATAGGGAGCTGCTGGTCAGATCAGGAATAAGAGATCCATGACATGTTTGATTTTTGCCTTAACTAATGTAAGTGAGCCTGTGCCCTGCTGTCCTTATCTCAGCCTGTCTCCTCTGACATTCCCAGAAGCCCTGCTTCTATTCCTTGTTCTCTGACATCTCTCCAGGTTTATCTATTTTTCCCCTGCTCATAACTTCCTAAATGAAATTTCAATGTATTTTTCATGCTTTTTTTTGGCATGAGGCTTGAGCTCTGGGCCTGGGTTATGTCCTCGCACTCTTCAGCTCAAGGGTAGCACTCTACCACTTGATCCACAGCACCACCACTTCCAGTTTTCTAGTGCTTTATTGGTTTTAAGCATCTCATGCACTTTTCTGCCAGGGCTGGCTTTGAACAGCCATCATCAGATCTCTGCCTCGTGAGTAACTAGAATTAAAGGCATCAGCCACTGGCACCCAGCTTTTTCATGTATTTTATACACTTTGATTCATTCATTTGACTCAGATGAGCTCACCACTTTTAGATCTACAGAATTCTCTGTAAACTAGTGAAGTCATGGATGAATCTTCTCAGACAAGTTGTGTGGATACACTGTGTATGGGAATGGAAAGGAAAACTTTATTCCATGAGAGATTTGTGAGATATATTGAAGCCAACTGAATGTGGTGTGGAAGTGAGTGAGACAGATGGGGCTCATGTGTAGACCCAGCAATAGAAAAGTACTCCCATTGGAGGTGGAAGATTATAGAGCTATATTCTGCTCTGTCCATTCTCTAATTGAGCTGCGTGTATGCATGTATGTGTGTGTGTGTGTGTGCATGTTCACACATGCTTTGGTAATCATGCATAATCTCAAGTCCTGAGGGCTGTCCCTTAAAATTTTTTTCCTCATGGCTGGCACTCTACCACTTGACCCACAGATCTGCTAACATTTTCTGTGTCGTTGATTGCACATAAGAAGCTCACAGACATTCCTGCCCAAAGTGACTGCAAAACATAATTCTTGGATCTCATCCTCCTGAGTAGTTATGATTACAGGCCTGAGCCACCAGCGTTGGATTAATATTTAGTATTACTAACATTCTAGTTGTCAAGCCTCAGAGTTACATTGTACAAAAGGACATCAGCAAACATCCACGAGACTTGAGATTCTCTCTATGAGAATTTCCATAAAATGATTATATTGAATGCTAGGAGAGCTCATCATTCTGGAACATACTTGATCATATTGGACATGTGATATCATCTGGCCTTTGAAAAGTCTGAGATATAGACCAGTCTGCCTGGTCTGGGTTTGTGCCTGTCTTTCCAGAAATTCCAGGCAGGCTTCAGGGTTCCTGAGTCTGCAGTGACTTCCACAATGTCACCACTAGAGGGAGGATAGGCCCGGTGAGAAGTCAGCCGGTCTGGCGATAAACCAGTAGCAGAGAAAACCAAAGGCAAGTTGGGTGACAAATACTGTGTGGTTCTACAAACCTCAGGGAAAACACAAGTGAGTGGTGGGTTCCATCCTGCCTCTTCCTGGGGCCAAGGGGGCCTATATGCCTCATCCACAGAGAATGGTCATATGAGAAGATTCTGTCTAGCAGTGGCAAGATCTGTGTGCTGCAACAGGTCTTAATTATAGATGTGGCCAACAGAACTCTAATACACCTGGAATACCAACTAGCAGGGTCACTAAAACAGGTGAAGTTCAATGAAGTTTCCCTCTAAAAGTAGGGACTCTTCACTTAGGATCCTTAACTTTGATCTCAGAAGAAGAAATTCTAGACAAGTCACAAAGTGGCAGAGCTTTACTGAGTAAGGAAGCAAACAAACAAGTAGGTAGACAAACAGGAAACAGAAAGGCAAAGACACACTCTAACTGAGGAGAGACACACAGCTCTTGGGCTGCCAGGGGTATTAATATGGTAAAGGTAGGAGTTCTGACTTCAAAGTTATGCAAACATAGGTATCTCATCTTTGCTCTAATCACTCCCAGTGTTTCAGAGTTTCTGTATGTTTTGGCCATTCTTTCAAAATGATTATCCTTGAGGTGAGGAAGGTGTGCTGGTGCTTATATTTGGGGTAGGAGGTTGCTTAAGTTTTGAGGGAGCATTTTTGGGGGGAAGGCATAGGAAGACAAGTGTCAACCTCCTTCACCCATGGTGGGAACTGATGCAAATGGCATTTGGTTCTGCCTCAGGGACCTTCCAACACCTCCTAATTATTATTTTTACCTTTAAAAAAATATATATATATAGTAAAAATAATGTACAGGGGAGTTACAGTTGCATGAGTAAGGCAATGAGTACGTTTCCTATCCAGCATTGTTACCTCCCCCTTTTTTTCCCTACCATCCCTTTCTTCCCCACCGCCGCAACTACTACTTACCTCCTGCCCCTAACATTGTAAATTTTGTTTTCAACCCAGTGTCCTGGACATATCATTGTCACAATAGGTCAACCTACATCCCTATTTAAGCATTCTGCTATACCCCTTTACCTCCCCACATTACAAAAATGTATGTACAAGATACAGAACACTGGCATCAAATCCAGTGAAAACAGGGTTAAACCATGGGGGAAGAACGAATAAAAGAAACAAAAGAATCACATAGTCTATTATAATTTCATTAAATACAATAGCAAGAAAGAAAAAACACTCTTCTCCCTGTCTTGGGGTACATTTTGCTTAACATCATCTTATATGGACATAAGTTCATAGCATTTGACCTTCTCTGCTTGTCCTTGGCATGTACTAGTCATTTCAAACAAGGGAAACCATGGGACCTATGTTTCTTTGGGCCTGACTTTGTTCACTTTATATAATGTTTTTCCAAGTCTTTTCATTTCCTAACAAATGGTGCAATGTCATTCTTTCTGATGGAGGCATAGAATTCCATTGTCTCTGTCTCTCTCTCTCTCTCTCTCAATGTATATTCACATTTTCTCTATCCATTCCTCTACTGAGGGGCATCTAGGTTGGTTCTGTATCTTAGCTATGGTGAATAATGCTGAAATAAACATGTTTGTGCTTGTAGCTTTAGTATGACCTTGTTTGTGATCATTTGGGTAAATGCCTAAAAGTGGGATTGCTGGGTAATAGGGGAGCTGTATGTGGAGTCTTTTGAGAAACATCCATAACTGCTTTCCCAAGTCGAAGTACAAGTTTACACTACCATCAACAATGCAATATGGTTCCTTTTGGGCATATCCCCTCCAACATCTGTTGTTACTAGATTTCTTTTTTTTAATAAGTTCTTTTTATTGTGAAAATACCTTACAGATGGTTTATAATTACATGAGGAAAGTAATGAGTATAGTTCTTATCAAGCATTGTTGCCTCCTCCTTTGTTTTTCCCCTACCATCCCTGCCCTCCCATCTCCAGGACTACACTCCCAACCTCCACCACCCTCCTCGCCTCCACACCAAAGTTGTAAAGTTCGTTTTTTGACATAGCATCTTGTACCTCTCATGGTTGCAATGGGTCCACCTGTATCCCTGTTTAAACAATTTGTTTTTTCCCTTCCCCTCCCAAATTATACCAACATCACATATGGTGAAAACAGGAGTTAAACCATGCTGGGGGTGACATACAAAACAACTAAAAATCATCTTATAAATATGTTAGAAACAATAGCAAGAAAGAAAAGAAACCACTCATGTCCTTATCTTGGGGTTCATTTTGCCTAATGTCATCTTATCTGATCATTTCTGCTTGTCTCAGACATATACTAGTTATTGAAAATAAGGGAAACCCTGGGCCCTCTGTTCCTTTGGGCCTGGCTTACTTCACTTAATATAATTTTTTAACAAATGGGGCAATGTCATTCTTTCTGATGGATACATAGAAATCTATTCTATACACACACCGCATTTTCTTGGTCCATTCATCTTCTGAGGGACATCTGTGTTGTTTCCACATCTTAGGAAGAAGGAGAGCCTCATCAGTAAATGGTGCTAGCAAAATTGGTTAATCACTTGTAGAAAACTAAAGCTAAATCCTTATATATCACCCTGTACCAGAATCAACTGCAAATGGATCAAAGACCCCAGAGTAAAAACTGAGACCCTGAATACATTACAGGATGGAATAGGAGCAACCCTAGGTCTCCCTGGCACAGGCCAAAATTTTCTTAATAGAGACCCAGAAACACAACATATCAAAGAAACGTTGCACAAATGGGATTTCATGAAATTGCAGAGCTTCTTCAAGGCAAAGGACATAGCTAACTAGATCAGTAGAAGTCCACGGATTAGGAGAACTTCACCAGCCATACAATGGACAAGGGTCTCATTTCTTAAATATAACTCAAAACATTAAATCCCCAAACAACAAATCCTCAGAGAAACAATGGCCCAATAAATAAGTGGGCTAAAGACTTACAGAGAAACTTCTCTGAAGAGGAAAGAAAGATGGCCAATAGACAACTGAAGGAATGCTCAACCTCTCTAGCCATAAAAGAGATGCAAATCAAAACAACAGTGAGATACTACCTCACCCCATTTATAATGCTTATAATCCAGAACTCT